TGGTCCACAATAATTTAAGAAGCAAAAGACAGTTTTATTAGACACTTCTATGCATTCTGTGTATAGCAGTGTTGAGCTTTCTCAGCTAAGCCAGACTACAAAAGAATTGTTTCGGGCGAATGGAATTTTCAGAGACTTTAAGGAGCTCAGTTTTTAATTCAAAAAGCTGTGTTAGGAAAATTTGAAGCAGCTCTTTCTCAGTAACTAATGCTTAAATTATAAACATAAAAATAGCCACATATTCATTTGGATAAAGTTGAACACCTAATACTGGCTAAGATGGAAGGGGGGAAAAGAAATAACCATTATTTAAAACTGCTTTAAAAATAAATGTATTTAACTTATCCTTAATGTTATATGCTACTGATAACTGACCCATACATTCTTCAAAGACAACCCTTTTAAGGGACTAAATAATCTATTTTCTTAAATAGAATTTTAACTTAAAAGTATCTTTACTAATAATCTTCAGGGACTCGTGAATATTAAACATTGTCTTTGACATAAAATGCTTTTTCATATTTGTCTTGTTTTTTCATACCTTTATTACTTTACCCATTGGATGGAGCTGAGCATTTACCGGCCAGATGTAAACTCTCAGCTCCATCAAGTGGGTAGAGAAATTCAAATATGATATTTCAAAAAAATACAAACTACCGGATTACAGTGTTATAAAAAGGCAGAATTTCTATACCCAGCCAGTTTACCTGTGGAGTTTATTTGAAAGCTCTCCGTTCACTGCAATTACTTTATCGATTGGACTTCCTAACCAACATATTGTTGCTGAAATTTAAAGGTTAGCCATTTCAACGTCCAAAGCCAGTCCCTAAACATTTGCAAGAACTGTAAACTCTGATTTTTTCTTCAAGACAATAGGCAAAAGGGAAGAGAGAAACCCTGAACCACACACTACACCGATGCAAACCCTGTGCTTATTTCAATTAAAAGCTACCTCTAAGCTCTTGCGAACATCGCCCCATCACCCAAACCACACAAAGAAGGCAAAGCCAGAAATCCTCCTCACCTTTCAAGAAGAAGAAGCAAAGCAATGCCATCAGCATGCCCGCCCGCCTCGCCATGGCGTTCTGAATTTGCCACTCAGCCGTAAACCTTCTGGAAACGAAGTCGGTGGGTGGCATTTTACCCGCCGGGGGGACTTTAAAGAGGGAAGGAAGGCTGAACTCGGCGGGAGGCACTCATTAGAAACGGGCAAGCATCAGCAGTGGGAACAAGGTTAGCCGGCTCCTTCTTTCCCGTTTCTCTCTAACAGCCCTGCCCCTTTGCTCACAGCCCCAGCGATGGGTGGGCGCTGGTTATCCACATGGCTGCATGGTCAGAAAAGGAGAGGCAGACCCTGGGTGGCAGGGCAGGATTAAACCCATCCTCAGAATTCCATGCCAAAGTTTCCCCTCTTCTTCTTCCAATCCTCTCCACATCCCTCCCCTCAAAAAAAAAAAAAAACGGTCTGATGAAATGAAAACAGCGCAATGGGATTGTGGTTGCCGAGCTGGCTGGCCTTCAAATAAGATTTTTGGAGCAGATGTGGCTGGCAAAAGCCTGTTAATGAATTAGCTTGGACCCTTGATGATGATGAGGAGGAGGAGGAGGAGGAGGAGGAGTACTTATGGCTGGAACTTGGCGCTTGGACCAGCCTGTCCAGCCCAGGAGCCAAACAGCCCCCATGGGAGTCAGCCATTCCCATACATAATGGGAATCATTAATGGCTGGGGACTTGTGTGGGCAGGTGTGCGGAAAACAGAGAAGTCAATCCCCAAATTTTCTCTTGGGTGAGATTGGACAGCCCTTTGTCTGAAATGGTGAAAGGGGTTGGACTAGAAGACCTCCAAGGTCCCTTACAACTCTGTTATGCTGTTAATTGCAATCCCCACCCCACCCTCGTATGTCCGGGAATAGGGGATTCTATGGATCAGGTCTCTCCACATCTTTCTATGCTCGCTCTGTCCGGTGTCCGTTTTGATGGTATCTGGCCGCCGTGTTCGTTGGCTTCCGGGTTTCCTTTTACTGCTTATTCTTCCAAATAGAATTGCTTTCTCCAGTGAATTTACACACACACACACACACACACACACACACACCACCACCACCACCACCACCAAAATTAAATGAAACACAGTTTGGTGATTTTGACCACAGTAATACGTGTGCCCTGTTGTCCCGTCCAATGAATCGATCAAATACATAGGATAAGAAACGTGGACTTAGTTTACCTTTACGCGTTCCTTGTTCCATTTATTTTATTTTATTTTTGGAAGCGTGGCTCCTTCTAGGTCAGCAAAATTGTAGCGTGGTCTTTGGCCTTTAAAAAAATGCTGACCCTCTTTTCTGAATGACCATCTCCAGTATTCTTAGTAACCTGGCTTAAAAGGCCGATCAATCTCTTTGTGTTTCTGACATTTACAGACAAATCCAACCATTAACAAGGAGTTTGACGGACTAGATGTAGGAAAGGTGCTGTGCTCCTTTGTGCGTTGTGGGATGGACCGAAAAGAGTTGGGTTGATTTTGGAGAATGAGAGTTGGGGATTTGCAGAATGTGCTTTACTTCCAACCTCATCTCTTTTTTTTTTTTAGCAAATGAGTATTTTTGTCTAACTGTGCCAACCGGGCAGGTGAAATCTTCCATCGCCACCCATGTTTTTCAAAAACAGCATGTCTCCCATTATTGTAGTTATTGATTTTCTCTTCTTGCTTTTGCAGATGTTGGTAATTGATTTACCTGGAGGAAAGTTCATGAACTCACGGTGCTTTTTATGTATTTGTTTCTGGAGTGCCTCATATCCCGTGGCTTTTGCTCCTACAAATCAGAGCTCAGCGTCTGCTTTTAGGAAAAGGTACGGAGAGAACTTATCACAGATTTAAGTCACCTCGTGGTAGGCCTTGAGCTAGAAGGGAATGTAAAGTTTGTGATTTGATTCTCCTGCTACGCTAAGCCACAAGATAGCTTACTAGTGCCTTAGAACCTACCTATTGTGGTTTATAAGTCATGGTGCTTAGATGATGGACGTGATACAGCTTTGTCAAGCCACGAGTAAAAAATGCTTTTGGCTTAAGACAATATATAAGTCAAGCCTGAACGTGGAGGGAACTGATTTACAGATAGTCCTCAACTTATGGCTATGGTTGCGATCAGAACTTCAGTCACTGAAGCTAGCTGGGAAGGTTGCAAATTCTGGACACATGATCCTGGGACACGCAGCAATCGTCATAAATATATATTGTTTGCCAATCACCCATATTTCGATCGCTCAGGGGACATTGTGTTGGTTGTAAGTACGAAGATCAGTCATGTCAGTTTTTTCCAGTGCTGTCCTTATGTTGAACAGTCACTAAACGAGTGGTCTTAAGTCAAGGACTTCTCACTGAGTTCATATACTGTATTGCAAAGTGTTTGATACATTGGCCAACAAAGTAAATATTAGAAATGCCCCTGAGATAGTGCTAATTTCCGGGCCTTCCTTATTCTGGAGCAATTAATTTTGCACCCTTTAATTTGCTTTTACACTTGCCAGCCTGTAGCCCGATTCGTTTAACGGCCCCATAATCCCTTGCAGGGTGGAGTCAGAGCAACTGTTTACTGGCTGGATGCCCTTCCTGTTGCCAGTGCAGAGTTTTGTTCAGTAGATAATATTCTCATTGTGCCCAGAGAGAGAAATATCTGCTTCCGCTTAGGATCAAACTCACAACCTCCTGATTGTAAGGTGAGAGTTCCACCTCTAGGCCATGGCACCACTCCCCAATCTTGAATAAGCGGTACTACTTAAACCTTGGGGAAGGAGGAAGTATGTATCTGTAGCACGAAGGACGTGCCAGTTTTCAAAAGGGAAAGGGGGGAAAAAATGGAATGTCAGAAAGCGACGTGACCACAACAAAACCTCTCCCACGCAAAGTACTTAAATAAAATACTCTTTTAATACACGATCTTGGGCATTTAATGCCATACCATGACATGTTACCTCCTTCCATGGCTACAACTGACCCCAGCGAAACCTGTTAACGTGGTTTCAAACATTTCAGAAGTAGATTCATCCTCACAGTCACGTTGTTCCCCGCTGGGCTTCGTTTCCCTGCGTGAATGCTTTAGCCCAAACTCTTCGGTCATTATTCTGAACATGCATAGAATAAGAGTGTGTGAACACATCTGCAGCTCTCTCCCATAATGCTCGATCATGGTTTAGTGTTACTAGGATGAGCTACTGTAGGTTTAATCTTTCTGACCTTCATCTTTGCAATATCTGCAGACAACAAAGCCCCGGCTGCCGATCATCTCTTTTAGGGAAGAACCTCATAAAACCTTTTATATCTCCTTAATCTAAAGAGACAGCCTTTATATAACCCTCCGAAATCTCAGGGGATGGATTCCCATCATTTGCCCAGACTCTCAATTTTTCAGGAGGACTTAAAACGGTCTTCAAAACCAGAGAAACAAGTGGAATTGCCAAAACATCAGTTTGGTTGTCTGCAAACGTTTGCAGGGAGCAGCAGTGAAAGAGGGGGAAAAAAATCTATTTTAGATGGTTACTTCAGGTCTTTGATGTGCAAGATTCTTGGTTCTGCAAAAAAAAGGACTTTCCTTCATGTTTTTCAGGGTCTTCTGGAATGAGTGGAGGTTGGGAGGCTGACCCTCTTTAGATGTCTGAATCAGATCATACCAGGATCTTACAGTAAGGAAAATCATCTTGCCTGAAAATAATTCTTTTCCTTGTCTTTCCCACTTTGAAGTTGTCCACAAAACTAAATTAAAACCAGGGTTGTGTCCCTTGCAACAACCTACATTTCGGCCAGCCCATCACAACTCCCTAGCAGAACCCTGCAGAACCAGCTGAAGAAGAGTGCTTTCATAAAATAAAAATTTAACAGCGATACAATTTTTTTTCCCCTGGAAAAGCCAAACCAAAACAGTTAATTTAAGAGTTCCGGCTAAACAGGAATCCTAGAAGTCCTTTCAAACTACTCTTGTGTAGAAGGTCTTCTCATGTTGCACGGATTATTCACTTTTTTTTAACTGGGAAGGGGCAGTAAACAAACAAACCAACCAAGATCTGGATAAAGAATCTTGAAATTGAAATTGTGGAACTCGGGACTTCCAACCCTGCGAACAAGCAGTCTTTGGCCTTAGATTCAGCTCAGCTTACGGGCTCATGGCAGGCTGGTGGTTTTGAAAAAGGGGCTGCAGGAATAATCCAGTGGTTCCCAGCACACACATGAAGACAAATATCCAGAGGAAGAGCCTGTCCACCACCATGGCCACGTATTTCCAGTCTTCAATGACCTGGAAAAACAAAGCAATTGAATATCTTTAATAAACCGTCCATTGCGACACAATCCCTCCCTCCCAGGCCAGCTTGCATTTTTTTTCAATAGTCTTCCGTGTCTTTCTCTTTGCAATTCAAGAATCCCACGCACACAATAATGAACTGGGAAGATGAAGGCTTAAAAAAATGGGCAGAAACAAATGCTTCAAATACACACACACACAGACACACACACACACACGGTGGAGGATGGGGCAGAGAGAATAGGGAAAAAAAGAAGAAAAACCCACCGTCGCTCCCGCAACCCCTCAAAATAATAATAATAAGGACTGAGCTTGGTAATTGTGGAATTTTGTGTTTTAGTTTTAAAAAATGCTAAAACCCTGAATTCTTGGCAATTTCTTCCTGCAGGAATGTTTGTCAACCTTTTACAGTGAGAAGCTACCTTAAAAAAAAATTAAGTTGACAAGATAATAATGCGTCTGTTCTTACTAGAGATCTGGGCTGGTTGGGGTTTTTTTTTTCCCCAACGGGTGTTAATTAGGAGTAATTAAAAACTAAGGAGAAATTTCCTAACAGTTGAGGACAATTAACCAGTGGGAGAGCTTGCCTCCAGAAATTGCGGGTGCTCCGTCACTGGAGGCCTTGAAGAAGAAACTGGATGGCCACTTGCCTGAAATGGTATATATATAGGGTCTCCTGCTAAATTTAGCAGGGGGTTGGGCTAGAGGACCTCCAAGGTCCCTTCCAAACCTGTTATTCTACATTCCAAGAGTAAGCCACCCCTGCCTCCCAAGTGGGCATGTTTGACAACTATTCAGAAGAGTTGATTTACAGCCACATTTTGTCAGAGATGCCCCTTGAATTCATCTCCGTGGTAGCTGATCGGTCCAACAAGCAACCCAATACTCATCTCTCAAGACGAGCGAACATGTCCTTACTTTCGGTCTGTGCGAGAGAACAAACATCTCAAGCTCCAGGGAAAGGAAATTCTAGGACTTCTGGAGGTGGAGGAATGCTTTGTGTCACTTACACTCTCGTTGTTGTCTTCGTTCCTCATGTGGTCCGCTATGAAGCTGACTCCCTCAATTGCTTCTTGGACATCGGGAGAAAACTTCACGGAGGACCGTAACCTCAGGTCTTGATGGCTGTGGACATGGTCGGGGTTGTCTGTGAGTTTCACGTTGTATCTTTGGCCTGCCGCTGTGTTCACAAAGTAAGTACAATCCTTGTATGTGCTGGAGAGATCCGAAGGCGAGGACTCCACTTTGTTCTTCTTGCGGTTGGTCAACCGTTGGCTCGCCGACTGGTTCTGTGGCCTCCTCATGAAGAGGAAGCTTGGCAGCCTCTGAAGGAAGACCACCTTAACCCAGGGAGGCATTGCATGAGTGCTGGGAGACCTGTGGTGGACATTCAGCACACAGACACTGGTCACAATCGAGAAGGTCACCAACACCATGGTGAACATCAGGTACTTCCCAATCAGTGGGACATCCAGAGAAGTTGGAGGGACGATTTTGGAAATCAGAAGCAGGAAAACGGTCAAAGCCAGCAGGACGGAGATGCACAAGGTTATCTTCTCTCCACAATCCGAGGGCAGGTAGAATACCAAGATGGCCAAGGACGTGATCAAGACACAAGGTATGATGAGGTTGATGGTATAAAACAGGGGCTTCCTTTTGATGATGAAGTCGTATGTCACGTCCACATAGTTTGGATCTAAAGGGTTTTCAGTTCTTCGTCCCGGGAGGGCCACAATGTCCCACTCCCCGCTGGGAGTGAAGTCATCCGTGCTGGCCGAGTCTGTTTTCAAAATCATATCGATTTCAGAGTGGTCATAAGTCCAAGAGCGGAATTTGAGGGTGCAGTTCTGTTGGTCGAAGGGAAAATGCTTCACTTCAATCTTGCAGGCGCTTTTGTAAATGGCTGGCGGCATCCACAACATGCTTCCATTGTGCTGAACAATCACATTTGTGTAGACAGAGACTTCGTAGGTACCGTCGGCACTAACGAAACCCCAAAAAGCAAAAGCATCAAAAAAGAAAAACAACTAGTTTTAGTTATTTGTCTAACAAGAAGATGGGCTGCCACAATCCATATTGACTCGACGCCACGGAATATATATATATCTATATATCAAGGCTCTCCAAACTTGGCAACTGTTAAGACTTGTGGACTTCAACTCCCAGAATTCCCTAAGCCAGCCATCCTCAGCCAGGCTGGGGACTTCTGGGAATTGAAATCCACAAGTCTTAACAGTTGCCAAATTTGGAGAGCCCTAGACTATATCATGGATGTTAATGTGACTTTACAGTGAGTATCAACCTTTTAATGCTATGAATGCCCTCCTGCGGGGAACATCCATTTATAATTAAGTAACTAGAGCAATTTAGGGCTGAACACTTTCTCCCAGACCAACAATTCTTCAATCAACAAAATGTATTCCATTAGGAAGCAAAAAAAATACCTAGTTTGGTCCTAAAAATGGTTGTCTTGGATATTGATTGCAAACAGCATCCTTTTTTAATTTTAACCTCTCGTAGCATCAAGCAGGAAGAGGCCACCCCATGCACAATCTTATGTAGCGATTCTGACTTACTTATTGTACAGCACAATGTCTGGGAGCCACACTTTCTTAGCCGGTATCCTTAGTTTGTTGATGCCTTCATATTCCGATGGTTCCCAGGCCAAGCGATAGTCGGTCCATTCCTTAAAAGCAGCGCATAACAACATTTTCAAGGACAGCCCCTGCTTTGCACAAAATTCAGAAAGGTTCTGGTTGCACCTGCTGACAAGTTCAGGAAAGACATCAGCTGTCAGGAAGCGCAGCCCCCTTCTCTCAAACACCGCATGCAGCATGACTGATGGGGGGTTTAAGACAGGGTTAAATGCCTCGCCCTCCTGTTGTTAAATTCCATATCAACTCGAGGAATTTCATGGATGGATTGAGTCACAGCACTTCATGAAAGCTGAAGCCTTCCATTAAATCGTCAGGTTTAAAAGGTGCTATCAAAGGCCTTCTTTCTATAATATTGCAGCTTTTCCTAGCGGAGGCACAAATTGCCAACCATTTGAGGATGAGTTTTTGGGGTTTTTTTTGTTTTTTTGCGGTTGATGCTGCTGGTTTGTTTTAATCATACCTACAGTACAAAACATAAAAGTTATGTTTGGCAAAAGCTGACTCTTGATTAAAACCATGAATTCGATACACGGCCGCAGAACTTCCCAGCTTACATCTAGTATTCTCACGTGGGATTGTCCGCTCCCAGAGAAGTGGCAAAAAAAAGGTCTACCACCACTTCCAGTTTGGAAGGTCTGTGGCATCCATTGAAACCTCTGAGAGCAAACGTTTCAGGTCTGCTGTAGAAGTTCAAGTGAACAGCAGCCAGAAGGTACACAGTTCAAATTTCTAATAAGCAATCTTGGAGATACTCGTAGACATTTACCTGGTTGAGCCAGACATTGGTGGTCATGATTTGTTCCCGTTCATTCTGAAGGAGAAAAGAGACAGAGATCACAACGTCAATCCTGGGTCCTGAAGGCTGAAGCTTAATTCTAGGGGATTTGGTTGAGCAGAGCAGGAAAGGAAACATCCATTTAAAAAGATTTATCCGATGCTGGAAGAGGGAGTTATCACAGAGTCAGGATTTCTCCACTTTGGCAATGTTAAGATGTGTGAACATCAACTCCCAGAATTCCCCAGCTAGGGAATTCTGGGAGTTGACAGCCACACATTTCAAAGCTGCTAAGGTTAGAAACACTATTCTAGACTTACGGTTTGGGAGACGTGCACTAGCGTCTCATTTTACCCCACAAGGCATGTGTAGTAGGCACACCACACTAAAGCTCTTTTACAGCTATATTTAAGTATGCAGAACTAAAAGTTGTGATGTGTATTCTCTGGAATTTAAAAGCAATACAGCAAATTGACAAACGGAGGAAAGTGGGGGGCTTAAGTGACCATTTTATTGACGCATCCATCCTTTTGTTTGCATCCCTTCAGTTCCTTGAAACTGAATCTTTTTGTTGTTGTTTTATGATAGAAAAAAATGTGTGTACACACACACACACACACACACACACACACTGCTCTATGACTGTAATAAACTCCTGCTACTACGACTTTATAGTTTGAAAGCAGAGAGGGTTCTTCACACCCACCACATTGATAAGCTGGGACAGAATAACCCGCAATTCTATCACAACTAACTGTGAAGAGTTGAAGGCTGGGCGAATTAAGTTGTTGTAGCGTGAAGCGTTGAGGAGATGGTTCATTAACTTCTCTTCAGCGTCAGCCGTCTCACTTCCTGTAAAGGAGGAAAGAAAGAACTGGGTCACAGAAGGGAGGCAGAATCCTGTCCTTGATAAACCCACCGTGGCGAGAGATGATGACCTTCAACCCATGAGAGTCCTACGGAAAGTTGGCCAACTCTTCGTTGGCCAAAGACGATAACCAACAAACAATGCAATGACTATTTCCGGAAGTAACTCATAAATCTTCTTTCTTGCTTCTCCTTAGCATTAGAAATGTATTCCAGAACTCCAGGAGGCTATTATTTCCTTTCCAGGTTGGCGTCTAAACTCTGCAACTTAGTTATAGAATATCAGAGTTGGAAGGGACCTTGGAGGTCTTCTAGTCTAACCCCCTGCTCAGGCAGGAGACCTTATACCATTCTGGATGGCTGTCCAATCTCTTTTTGAGGTAGGTATTTTTTTTCTGGTTTGGCCTTGATCTGTGGGCTAATGGTTCCATTCATTGTATGAGCTCTTTTCATTGGGGTTAACAGACTGAGGGCAAATGATGGCTTGTGTCAGAAATACACCTGAAAAGACCTGGTGGGCCTAAGAAAGTTTAATTGAAAAGTTGGTTTGGAAATCTCTTTGAACACTTTCTTTAGCCTCCTCTTCTCTTCCCCGCTCTGTCCACTTAAAAGCGCTTCAAATTAATGAGCTCAGATCCTAAATGAGCAATGACCCATCCTATTCTAGTGTGTGGGTGCGGTAGCTTTGCCCTTATTTGCGATCCACTAGGTGTCAGCAGATGGTCTGCACAAATCCATTTGTGAGGCTCAACGTGTTTGTGAGCAGAAAACCAATCCTTCTGTGTTTTCAAAAACTCACCCTTTCCCATCAATGTTAAGAATCATTGTTCCTAACCGAACTAAATACGGAACACACGATGCATTCAACAGTCAGGTTCACAACTCTGTCATCCTTTTTACGTGTTATTCCTAAAGGTCAGTGTGCACACAGTAAAAAAATACGGTGATAAAATTATCTTATTGCTTTTCCCTCCCTCTTGTCTCCATGAAGAGATGTGACCAGTACAGTTTTTCATCTTGCCCATTAAATTATTTTACATTGGATCAAGAGTACATGCTGTCTGTGAACCCCCTGGAGAATGGAAGTGGTAGCTGGCTTAAAAGAGACAGAGAGGGAGGGAGGGAGAGAGAAAGAGAGAGAGGAGAAGAGAAGAAAGAGGGAGAGAGAGCGGGGGGGGGGGGAGAGAAAGAGAGGGAGGGGGAGAGAGGAAAGGAGAGAGAGGGGAACGGAAGGAGAAGAATCCAAGTGGCTGATTTAAAAAAGAGAGAGAGAGGGAGAGAGAGAGGGAGGGAGGAAGAGAAAGAGGGAGGGGGAGAAAGAGGAAAGGAGAGAGAGGGGAATGGAAGGAGAGGACTCAAATTCTGAGTGAACGATATGGGCAACTTATGTGCTGTGACTCCAACAGCTGGCTTATTTTCTGCAGCAGTCCCACAGCCAGCATGCTCCTCTAATAATTCAAGCGGGGTGTCATGCGTCGCGCGTCGGGGAGAGCACTTTAAAGCGAGCACCACTTTGGAAATGGGATTGATTTCTTTGCAGGGAAGCTGGCAAACGAACTTGCAGAGCTTTGCAATCCTCGCTCAGCTCGAAGGGAGCCCATTCTTCTCTGTCGTCCAGGACTGGCGAATGCCAGGTTCCTGCAGATAATCAGATGGATTGCATCACTCTTCCTCAAGCCGGAAGCCATCGGGATGGTCTGGGAGCACAAACCCCATCATCCCCAGGCAGCAGGGCACCACGTCAGCTGGAAGGGATGGGAGCTGTAGTCCAAACATATCTGGAAGCCTCCCAGGGCGAGCAGGCACGGCCTCTCCCTCTCTGCCTAGTAGCTCCCCGGGTTGTCCAAACGCTTTGCGTCGATTCTGCATTCTGTCCCACAAAAATCTATCTTGAAATTTCCATAGAGTTGCACAATTGGGGGACTGAAACGTTTGGTATAATTCTGGACATTTTTGGATTCTTTCCAGACCCCGACTTTCTTTCCCCTTCTGGGTAGCTTCTCTCTGAAACACCGTTTCGGAGACACCCTGCACACCCATTGGGATTATTTTTTTTTCCCAGCTACTCCTAATAAAAACATTTGCCTACTTGCAGATTTCGGGATTTTGCCTTGAAGAACTGACATAGGAACGGCCGTCTCTTCTGTTCCCACCCCATCTCAGAAGCCTGTGTATCATTTCAGTTTTTCTAACCCCAGTAATTAAAAGGAAGAAAGGCTGAAAATATTGCGGGCGCAGCTTTCTCCTCTTGTGATTGAATGTGAACAGTCCCGACTTCTCGAAATCCTCCGGAATATGTGACCTGCTCCTGACACCAAAGCAAATTCTACACTTTAGGGCGCTCTAGACCTACAGCAAAAATGCAGCATTGGAAAGGAGTGAGTTCTAAAGGGGAAACCATCCTGAGAATCCTGCCTTAACGTAACCCGAGAGAGAGAGAAAGGGGAAAAACGAACCAACTTTAAACTCAAAGGTCCCATTTTTAAATCTGGCCTCTGACCTTGTTCCTTCCACTCATTCCTCTTGAAATGCTCCTTGTGCATCTCCAAAAATGGCCAGCGGTGTAAGAAACCTTGGAAAATGGGATTAACCCCAGTAGAAAGAGTTCTTGTGAAACAGACGCGGCGGACTTAAAACTGAGCACCCTTCCATTTCAAGCCCATCTGGAATGATTTCAGATAACAGTTATGAAATCTCATTCCCCAACTAATCAGTCTTTATTTGCCGGATGGGCTGCCAATTAGGGCCAGGCTAAGCAATGTCTACGATGGTACCAGCAGGAGATAGAGAGAGAAGGAAGGGCGTTTTTATGCCTCGGTCTCTCTTCCTGTGCCCGCCGGCCTTTCTAAACCACTTTTTAAAGCATCCGTGGAAAGTCCAAAGAAAGGACAAGCCAGAATTTCCTCCCAGTAAACCTTCCAAGCAGACAAAACCCAAAGAGTTACCTTGCAAAGAGTTACCTTGCAACATAAACATCCCATCCTGGATCTGTTCTCTGCTCTCCTTGATCAAAGGAAGCATCTGCATCAAGAACCAGTTATGCCTGCTCAAGGATTGACAGCAAATCGATCTTGCTTGAAACCCCCAAAGATGGCCCCACAACACAGACTTCCTTCAACTTTCACACCTTGCTAAAACACTGTGGTCCCCGTCCCCCCACCCAACTTTCCTCAAGGAATAATTTTCCTAGCAAGGCTTTTCGTTTCTTTGCTTTTTGAACGAGGCTGAGGGGGATATGCTTTTTTTCTGGCTAAAAGTCTGCTTCCCAGCTGCAAACCGAAGGAGAAAGGCTACTCACCGTTCATAGAAAAGAAAAGCACAGCCAAGACAAAAAATTGGTTGGTATTCCTCATGGCAGTGAGAAAAAAAAACCCCGCCCCCACCCCCAGAGTTAAAACACTGTTGATTCCAAAACACCACAATTGTGTGCAGAAGAAGAAGGAGGAGAAGAAGAAGAAGAAGAGAACAGGAGTTGTGAGGGCAGGACAGGCGTGGAGGAATCAAAGCGAAACAGAGCTGGGAAGCAGCTGGGAGCTGCAAAACGTTTCTGTGTAGGACCCAGCAGGTCTTCCAAGAAGGGGGCGGTGCTTCCTCTGGAGGCCCCTCCCCCTTTGCAGCTGTTTAAAGACGAGGCAATGGGGAAGGAGTAACAGAGGAACAGAGTTGGAACCTTACACACACCCCTCTGGATCAGTTCAGGATCAAAGGACCTCTCTTTAGAGGGGCACCCAGCAAAATTTCCCAGGGACTCACAGGCTGTCTTCTAAAAGTGGCTGCACTAGAGATGCAACACAGATTTTTAGCAATGCTGACAGAGCGGGGCGGGGGATGCAATACACCTTTTGCAATTCAGATGGAGGAGGGAAGGACGGCAGGGCAGCTGAGAGAGAACTTCACTGGAAAAGCATCGGCTAAAAGCGTCAGCCAATCAAGCGTTTACGGTCAACGCACAACGTGTGTACAATGAATCAGAGTTCTGCTGGTTATCTCTCCTTGAATCCACAAATAGAACAGTGGCCAGGAGGACAGAAGAGGTCCGTCTTATGTTGGCCATGAAGGAAGAGGAGTCAAGAATTTGCCGTTCAGAAGGAGATCCCAGGTTTATCTCTACTTTTCCTTGAAGACTTCCCCAAAACCACCCTATGGAACTCCTGATGGTTCCCCCTCTGATGTTCCTTGGTGTGCACCTTCCACAGTTCTTCTGAAAATTTCTCAGACTTGTAGTCCCTGTGGGAGAGGCCGTATTGAGTAAGGAAGATCTTTTCCCACCGCTTTGTTTCCTGAGTAAACCCAACAAAGGTGGAAAAAGTGCCCCTATTGTGACTGAGAACGGGAAATAGTGGGCCCAACCAGGCCTTCATAGTAACACTGGAGTTGTTCAGTTGGGTCAAAGGAAAAGAAATTCAAATCTAGGGTTGGTTTCTCTCTTCAGAGGCCACCGCTGAGAAGCTCCTGAGAAACTCATTGTCCAGATTCAAAAGACTCCATTGATTTTGGCTCTCAGGAACAAGATGAGTCAAATGTCCAACTTTTAAGCTTTGGTTGGTGATTGACTCTCTTCTTGCAATTCCAAATATACTTCCCTGGGAATAAAGTCCCTTGGATCACACAACCTTAGCAACGTGAAGGTGGGTGGACTTCAACTCCCAGAGTTCCCCAGCCCCAAAAGAGAGAGAGAAAAGGTTGGGCCAAAACAGCAACCTCCTGCCCCTTAATCAGGTAAACTGGTTAAACTCATTTAGCTCAAACTGAAAAAGCCAACTCAGAAAGCTCAAACTGCCCAGGCAGCGGCCTATCCAGTTCTACAGAGGAATGATGGAGTCTGTCATCTGCAACTCTATAACTGTCTGGTTTGATTCTGCAACCCAACAGGACAGACAAGACTCCAGAGAGTAATTAGGACTGCAGAAAAAAACATGGCTACCAACCTGCCTTCAATCGAGGAAGTGTATCCTGCACGAGTCAAAAAGAGGGCTGTGAAAATATCTGCAGACCCCTCACAACCCAGATATAAACTGTTTCAACTCTCTCCCTCAAAACAGCACTATAGAGCCCTGCACACCAGAACAACTAGACGCAAGGACAATTTTTTCCCAAATGCCATCACTCTGCTAAACAAATAATTCCCTCAACACTGTCCAAGTATTTACTAAGTCTGCATTGCTATCATTATTAATCTTCTCATCACTCCTTATCACCCATCCCCTCCCACTTGTGACTGTATGATTGTAACTTTGTCTGTTGTATCCTTAGGATTTATATGGACTGTTTCCTAGTATGATTTGATTGCTTATTGTACCCTATGAGTATTATTAAATGTTGTACCTTTTGATTCTTGACTCTTGACAAATGTATCTTTTCTTTTATGTACACTGTGAGCATTTGCACCAAGACAAATTCCTTGTGTCACACTTGGCCAATAAAGAATTCTATTCTATTCTATTCTATTCTATTCTATCCTATCCTATCCTATCCTATCCTATCCCATCCCATTCCATTCCATTCCATTCCATTCCATTCCATTCCATTCTATTCTCTCATTGGATGTCAGGATGGTGGTGGGGAAAATAGCGATAATATTAATCCAAAATTGGTTCTGGGAATCTCAGCCAAATTTAGCGGAGTGTTTCCTGCCCCGTCTCCTTTAAGATTAGACTTCTCGCTGCAGATCCAGCCATGGCAGCCTACTTCCTTGGTCTGGATCTGGATAGGATCCTTCCTTGGACTTTTGCCTATAACTAGTTCAGCAGAAGATTTTTATTTTATTTTTTGCTTAGAGCGCTTTGGATCCCAGCCCATTTCCGATGCACCGGTTTTGGCACTGCAGACAAATCCAGTGGGGAGGGGACAGGACACCTTCCGTGGTCTGGAAAGCAGGGGACACGGCACTCTGCAGGATCCTGCCCTTCCCATAAGGGCAGAGAGGATGGGAAATAGCCTGGGGCAGTGGGAATTGTCGTCTTCCGGCCGGATCCACAGCCCCAAGGTAATGCTACCTTATCAGATGGAGGCCTTGATGCAGCTTCCCTATCAAAACGTATTTCATACACTGCCTGTCTCTGTATTTTCAGGATACACGTTGTATAAGAAACATAAGGGAGAAAAAAAGTCTTTTAGCTATACAATTTGGGACGAACAGCCTCTAAATGCTGTGGGAGTAGGAATGGATTTCCAGAGGGGGAAAAAATCGCAGTCTACAGGAGCCGTCAGCATCGCTCAGGTGACCCCGAGGACACAGATAAACCTCCAAGTGCTTCAGTGACCTGCTAAAAGGATGCAAATGACCAGCTGTGTCTGCAAGGAGTATAAATCCTCCCATTCCCCACCATCCAGTCCGAGCTGAAGAAGCTTCTTGGAGAAGAAGCGAAACGTCTTCAAAGATAAAAACAAGAAAGTCCAGTTGCCTCTTGGGGCGACCAAAGGTGGATGTGACTGAGAATCTCTACAGACTATAAGGGGAAAAAAAGTTGTTTTCTACACACAACAGCTGGGGTGCCACTTTTCATTCCCACAGAGCTACAGGAAACCTTCTGTCGCTCCACCAGACAACTGACTGATTCAGTAGAGCAAGAAACATAGATATGAAAACTTCAGTGACCAGAGCTGAGATGGGGGTTTCCACCTTCTCCCCCCCCCCCCCCCCCCAAAGATGAAGTCAAGATAAGGCGGCTGAGCTGTCTCTGCCATTAGCTCTTTCTATAACTTTGGAAAGATGTCAATTCCACACAACTGGAGCCCTTCTTTTTTTTCCCTTTACTTAGCAAACTATACAGACAACCATTGTGCTTAGATTACTCGGTCATGGTAGCTTGATCAAGCCACCACGATTGGCGAAGGAGAACTCAGGCAAGTGGATAGTTACTGTCAAAAACCACCTCCTATAAATAGAAGGAGAAAGAGAAGTAACCACTCCAAGTAATGCCAACATAATATAGCATTTCGAGAGGAAGAGTTGGTCAGTTGGCTTAAGTGTCTCCTAAGAAGACTATTGATTAAAAGTGGGAAGCAAACATTGCCAAAAAAAATATATGTGCACCTCGCTTTTATGCAACCTCGCTATTGATTAGATTTTAAAACCAAAATAGCACAAAGTAGAGGTATGGCCATTAAGCAGTCAACGTGACTTTTAGAACCAAGATAATTTTCCTTTGTTTCGTAAATAGATCCATCATGAGTCTGTAGTCTCGGGGCAAAGTTATAGCAACAACCTCATCTGTAAAGCAACTGCCCCCTAATTCTAGATGGGTGGGACCTCAACTGCCCTAATGTCCTAGCTGGCTGAGAGGGATTATGAAAAGGCCAGCTCTATGCAGGTATTTGCAAAATTTCTTCACGCTTTGATACCACGGGAGAAACCTGTGATGGCAAAGGTACTGGAAACCAATTTCCTGCTCAACTGAAGTTGAAAGGGCTGTGAAATTGATATTGCTTCATGCAGATGCTTTAAGATGTTGAAGCGCCCTAGCATGGGTGGATATGGCCCATTTCCCACTGGTGAGAACTTGATTGGTGGAGGAGAAACAGCTTGAAACAGTGGTTAAGGTGCTGGTCTAGAAATCAGGAGACAATGAGTTCTAGTTCAGCCTTAGGCATGAAATCTGGCCGGGTGGCTTAAGAGTCGATCACCAGGAGATGGTGAGTTCTAGTCCCACCTTAGGCATGAAAGACAGCTAGGTGACTTTGGGACAATCACCAGGAGATGGTGAGTTCTAGTTCTGCCTTAGGCATGAAAGACAGCTGGGTGACGT